CAGTCTTCTCATAGTTCACATGTCGATTAACCCAATATAGGTTTGCCATTGCTATTGACGACACAACTTATTTCTAAAGCTACCATTTATTTTTGAATGGTAGTTTGGTCAGTCTTGGTAAGAGGGATGAGCTATTCTGATGATAGAACAGACGAAATTTAAGCACTTTTCACCAAAATCCAAGTTGTCCGCCTCGGGAACAGTTCACACCAATAGGTTCCAAGAAAAATCAAACTGCGAGTGAAGAACAAAACGAATTAGACTTCCACATCAAATATCTCCAGACAGAAGTTTTCTCAACAAATTGGAACAACAAAATTCCTCAAAACCAAAATTTCCTTTAAATAGGAAAAATTTCACAGACCGCATCGTCTCTAGCCCTAAAGCCTCCGTTCCACAGTCCGCACAATCAATTAATGGAGATTTTCGTTGGCCCATAGAGCCCACCAACTATGAAGTGAAGTCTGAGAGATCTGGAGAGTGGCACGAGACATTTGCGGATTGGCACCTTTCCGGTTTGAGGACGAGGTTGGGCCAATGACAGTCAATCTTCTTGTCGACTTCTGTCGGCCAAAAGCCAGTCTATGGGATGTATTCACCCTATTTCAGGCTATCAGTACTGCCTGAATATGTATTTAATCAGCTTAAATAGCTTAAGATGATCTGCTGACTGATTGTCGAGTCTTTCGACCCCGCTTCACCATCTCTCCTCGGCACCTCCAGCGCGATTATGAACCGCGGGTGCCAGTTAGTCTTAGGGAAGATGCGACATTCGAGGCAAGCCAGACCCCTCCCAACGGATTGCTGATTAAACGAACATGCACTTGTCATTACAATCGACTATTCTACTCACTTCTATATAAGTAGTATTCGAGAAATTTAGCATTAAAAATAGAGAATTTCCTATTCTACATGGCCTCGGATAACCTAAGCTTTTATTCAAAATCTACTGATAGCCTCGAGATACTACTCATTTCGCATACATGTAGTTGGGATTGTCGGTTTGTTGAATTCATTTGAGCTGCTTTTCTTGGCGGGACGAACGTAAGCTCAGCACTAAGGCCTCCGGTCGGGGAATTGTACGCTCAATGAGAAAGTTATGCTAGCCTGGGTCGCTTAAGGATAAATGGGCGCCTAATGTGGAAGGTAACACAATGAAATGGGTAAAAGGTGGTTTATTAAACGCTCCCTGATCCACAAAAGGATTGCCCACTCTATGAGATGAATTCACCATATTTTGTTTAAGAGGATGAAGGAGTGGCAGTTGAATTTTACCACAATTTTCGCATTCCGATTCAATTTCTCACCTATTCCTACCTCCAAAAGGACATTCTCATGCCGGCTGGACTGGACCGGACTGCACTTTCGACCTCACCAAAACGGATCTCAGCGGTCCCAGATGGCTGGCAGTACCTTTTTGGCGACAAGACTCCGTGAAGTGCAATGGAAGCGTGAGGTCTACTCATACAATTGTGGGAAATTTAACTGCCATTACTGCATCGCCCTTAACGAAAACGGGTAAATACATTTCATATTCACGATCTACTACAACGCTTGAAGCCCACTTTTAAGCCAAGACGTTACGTCAAGACTGGCCTGAGCAAAACATGCCGCTCCCATCGACGCAGGTTGGAGCAAAGCTGGTCTTGTTTCGAGCCCACGATCCGATTGGTGATGCCGTATTTGTCGCCATAATCCTGGGTTCGTGAGCTCGAGTCCCTCTCTGAAGGCCGAATACGCCTTGGCGGTGATGCGACCCCGAATCCGTGGGTACTGCCACCGGCATCACTCAAACAAATGCGGATTTATCCTTTTTCCGGCACCGTCTACTCTTCGGATTCCTACAGTTTGGGTAGGTCAGTTGGGTGTGTGAGTAGGGGTCGAGCGAGAGGTTGCTATGGCCGGTCGTTTTCTAGAAAGACTATATCCAAAGGCCTGGCAACGCGCAGTCAGATAGTTCAAACAACCCGTTGGGATGACGTGAAAACAGGATGCCAGCCCAAAAGTCCTTGTCAAGACAAGAAGGTCGGCTTAAATGGCAAATCTGGTTCGTTTTCATGCTACCCCGACAGCACATGCAAACACACAAATAACCGGTGGACGGATCCGTCATCCTCTGCCTTTAGGCGTCACTATCTCTACAAGTTGACGACTTTTTTCAACTTAGACTAATCTTCTCGAAAGGGATCCTAAGTTGCACTTTCTTGAAGGCACAGACTTCTTGTGTGTTAGGCACCCTGGAGAAGGAAAAAAGAATTGCCATGGAGTGAGGAATGTTGGTTCGTGCCGAAAATGTTTAACCGAGAAAGCATACTTCAAAAAAAGCCTCATCAATACACACAATTTAGAGAAAAGGTTGGTTTAGTATGTTATTGCGATTTTTCGTAGACTGTGGCCTCTTTGCATAAATTGGGCAGTACCATGTCGTGGAATTGGAGACAAAACAGACCCAGGAGACATTCTGGACGTATATTTCCTTTTTGATTGGTAAATCAGATATAGTGGGCTGTGTTCAACATATTTCGTTGAGGTTGATGAAGGATTGGTAGTTGAATCCCCCCCCCAATCAAATGATTTACTGGCAGTCTCGAGAAACTACTCAAAACGAAATATAAGTAGTGCTGTCGATTGCCATTGCAAATACAGCCCTGCTTCAGCGGCAATCCCACCATAGAATGTGATATGGAAAGGTGTGTGGAATTCCTTAAATTTCTCATCTGCCCTGTGGCCCAAGGGCACTTGCATAGTGTTAACACACCGAGGTTACACGCTACAGTGTCATGGTTCGACTCCCGCAGAGGGTGTTTAAAAGACCAAGGGGAGGTCGAAACTGCAGTCAACTTCTGGCTGGGGGAAAATACGTTTTGGGAAAGCAAGGATTGTGAAATTCGATTGAACGGTTAGGTCTGTAAATGTGATTGTATGAAAGTAAGGTGAGCATAACTCGCATATTCGGGACTTATGTCTGAGTCCTACTGGCTTTGGTGAAGACTCACTCACAAGTGTGATGATGCTATCTCCCTTAAAGGAG